GAGTTTCCAAGGAGGAGGTGGCTCTCCCTCCAGGAACGTTTTGCATTCTCCAGGGCTCCAGGAGACGCTGCCCTGAAATGACTCAGGAGGGAAGAAAGCCTGAGGTTTCTTCTACAGATAAGATGAATGGCTACTTTAAAAAAACAAAAAACAAACAAACCACCATGTCCTCTGTATTCGCAAGGAACAACAGCGTGTGTGACACTTAGAAGCAGACACAGCAAGTCTTTCCCAACATTCATTTTCCAAATGCAGCTTAGTGAGGGGTTGCCCTTTGCGAACACTCCCAGGCCAAGGACGCCAGCACTTCTTGTGGGCTGATTCCAGAAGCCACTGGTGCCACAGAACCGAGAGGGACAGAGGGCGGAGAGTTTCCGAGGTGGCGACTGGACTGATGGTCTCCTTCTGGACGCAAACATCCCAGTGAATCAGACCTTGAATATACCACTAATCACTTGTTTAAGAAATGCAGACTGCTGAGGCCTTCTGAATAGAAGCCACACACAAATTGATTCCCCAGAAGGAGCCCGGGCTTTCCAGGACACATTGACTATTTTCAAGAGCACAATAATCCTGTCAACCTTGAGCAGAACCGAATTGTCACATGTCATCAAGTCTGAAACTGGGCTCTGGACCACCCAGGGAATAAACTGTGTCCAAAAGCAGTTCAGTCAGGACCCCGGGGCCCAGTGCCCTTGAGCTGTGTCCTTTGCTTGCAACAATGAAGACCCACACCTCCCCAGGCTGAAAGGAAGGAGGCCGGGACAGAGAGTGGGGGAAGCCCTGCCTGCTCCTCGCAGAGCAGCTCCAGCTGCAGACAGAAGGGGTAAATGCCCCAAAAGCAGGAGGCAGAGCAAGCAGGGAAGCTGAGGGGTACAGGCAGTGACTGCATGGTTCCCTGTCCCCATCACCTAAGGCAGAGACAGCAGAGGGAAGTCGGCCAAGCTGGGCGAGTTATTCCCCTTCCTGGAGAAAGTCACTTCCGCCGTCAGCGGGGAAGATGACTGGTCTTGCCTCACAGGGTTGCTATGAGGATAAAACGAGATGCAAAATCCAGATGCAGATGGCTGCTTCCAGGGCCCATCCTGCCCAGACTCAGTTGTTCCCCTACATCATTTACAGTCTGTGCCCCTAACTCTCTTATTTACTTATTTTGCTTTAAGGAAACCTCATCTTTTAAAATTTACTTTGAAAGGAAATTTGATTTGGCTGTTGGAAACAGAAAACCAGCCCTGCTTACCATCCATAGACAGTCAGTGTCAAAATAAAAAGAACAAAGCCCCAGCAACTATTAAGCTGGATCTCGCCCCTGTTGCCTGCAGAAGGTTTTGAGGTCTGCTTTCTCTATTGAAAAAGAGATGAGTGAGTGTTCCAGAGCTTTAAAGAAGGAGAGCGCACCAAGGCTTCTCCCTGATACAACCAGAGACTTGAAACCGAGAATGGAAAAAACATGACGTAGTTTAACTGGAAGCTCCAATCCCAGGAAGAGCCCTGCCACTTCAACTTCCTTAGGCCCTGTGCCAACGGAGGCAGCAGTGAGAAAGGGGGATGAGAATCTGGGGGACCTGACAGACCCCTGTATGCCGGTCATGGCCCCACAGCCTCCAGAAAGCTCTTCGCCAGGGAGGAAACTGCTGGCTTGGTCTCAGCTTTCCTGCCATTTGGGGACATCACGCTGACTTCCCCCCACAAGCCCCAGCAGGGAAAACCCGCCTTGGCCACAGCCAGTGGCGTCTCCATCAAGGAACCTCATAAAACTCATCCTGACCAGGAAGCTGGCAAGGTTCCCCTGAATGCTTGGGGTTCCACTCATGCCAAACCTAACAGCACTCACCCTTCTGAAGGAGGCTGGCGTTCAGCAAGCACTGCCCATGGGGAAGAAAAGGGCTTCCCCAACAACGTTTAATGCAGTATTTCTCCAGAAAGACCTGTATCAGAATCCCCTGGGGAATGCAGTTTGGTGGCGCCATTATGGAAAACAGTATGGAGATTCCTCAAAAAACTAAAAATAGACTTACCATATGATCCAACAATCCCACTCCTGGGCATATATCCAGAGAGAAATCTAATTCAAAAAGATACATGCTCCCCAATGTTCATGGCAAGTCTATTTACAATAGCCAAGACATGGAAGCAATGTAAATGTCCATTGACAAATGACTAGATAAAGAAGTTGTGGTACACACATACAATGGAATACTACTTAGCCATAAAATAAAATAATGCCATTTGCTGCAACATGGGTAGACCTGGAGATGGTTATTCTAAGTGAAGTAAGCCAGAAAGAGAAAGAAAAATACCATATGATATCACCTATATGAAGAATCTTAAAAAAAAAAAAAAGAACACAAATGAACTTATTTACAAAACAGAAACAGACTCTCACAGACATAGAAAACAAAATCATGGTTACCAGGAGGCTGGGGGTGGGAAGGGATAAATTGGGAGTTCAAGATTTGCAAATATTAACTACTATATATAAAATAGATAAAAAACAAATTTCTTCTGTACAGCACAGGGAACTATATTCACTGTCTTGTAGTAACCTATGAAAAAGAATATGAAAACGAATATATATATGTATATGTATAACTGAAACATGATGCCATACACCAGAAACTGACACATTGTAAACTGACTATACTTCAAAAAATTTAAAAAAAAATCCTCTTGGGGTGGATAGAAATTTGGCAGCCCCACCTTTGATTCACTGAATCTATCTGGGGGTGAGATGCAAACATGTACATTTTAAGAAAGCTCCCAGGTAATGCTGATGCCCACTGAAGTTTGAGTCACGCTCTTTCACACCGTATCCCTCTGCCCATACTGCCCTCCAACATCCCAGGTTATTTTTTACTCATCCTGCAGACCTCAGATCAAATATCAGTTCTTCGGGGGAGCCATCTGCCCCCTGCCTCCACAAGTCTCGACTGGGTTCCCCCTTCTATGTCCAAGCCTGGTTCTCTTCCTTCACAGCCCTAATCACGATTTCCATTATGCGTGTGGCTTGTCAAATCATTTCTGTCTTCCCCACTGGCCTGCAGGGCTCTGTGAGGGGCAGGGCTGACCACTGAATCCCCAGCATCCAGCACAGGGCCTGGCACAGAGCTGACACACAATAAAAACATCTATTGGTTAAATGAACGAATCTGGAATCACTGTTTCTAATTCTCATTTCCCACCATACCTCGCTCTTCTCACTAACGTTTGTCAGCTACTTGAAAATCTTTGTCATAGCAGGTCCTGGGAAGGGGGAATCCTGTTGCTGAGATCTTTTTCTGTTTAAGGGATTTACTTTTTTTTTTAATAGAGGTACTGGGGATTGAACCCAGGACCTGGTGCATGCCAAGCATGCTCTCTACTACTGAGCTATACCCTCCCAAGGGATTTTAAATGACCCCATCTGCTCACCTGAGTAGAGATCTAAATGTAAATTTTTTCATATACTAACATGCAGTAATAGGAGAGGCTGAAAGGCTTCTCACTTCTCAGCCCTTGAGTCTCCTGGGTCCCACTGAGTCCTAAGAAACTCCAGGAGAGTCACGCCCTAGGTCACAGGCAAAGGGAAGACATCAATTCCTACCCAATCCAAAATACCTTCCCTAAGGCTAACAACAAACGGACTGCTATCCTAGAATCAACTTATCCCGTAAGTTCTGTTCACGAATAAGTTTGTTGAAAAGTGTTGTTTGAATTAGCACAGCCCACTCTGAAAACACGCCCCAGGAGGAAGCGACCCTTCCATTCTGCAACAAGCATACACTCGGCCCCACGGGATCCACCACCAGTCTGGCAGCCAAAGACCCACAAATGTTTAGCTCTGCCATGGGATATGTAGAATAAATTAAGTTTAGGGGGGAAAAATCATAAAACAAGCCTCTAAGTCTAAAGACTCTGTGTACCTTGGCA